AGCAGAAACAATTCTGTTGTGTACTTTTTTCCCTTCAGAAAATTATTGTGGCGTATTTTAGAAAAACAGAACATTTAAAAGATTATTTGACTTATAGTATTAGTCCCAGTAAACATTTTTGGTTTTATTCTATAGAATTGCTTTTGAAACCTACTGTATAGCTCTTAGGTGATATTCAGTCTTATTTGAAACCTTAACATGCCCTATACTTTGATTTGTGGAAAGTTAACCTAGGCTTTCTCTTTTTTTGTCCATATAAGAGTAACTTTATACCCTCCATTTCTTGGCTTTTTTTTTCTTTATAGTAATCCCTAGATCATTGGAAGAATTTAGACAAATTTTGACATTCTTAGGATTTTGAGGAAAGCTTAGTATTGCTTAGTATTTATTTATTGACTGAAGTGACTATTTGATTCATGGGAATGTCCAATAAGCTCATGGATTTAACATACTGTTCTCCTGAGAGTGGATAAATGGTTAATATAATAGTTCCTGTAGCCGAATGAGTGGCCCTTCCCTAAGACATTAATTATACACATAACCACTACATGTCCTCAAAATACTGTAACATTTTGTAAGCTACGGAAAGTTAGATTGAATTTTTGCAAGTTTAAGAGCCACTTCTTTCTTATGAGAAACTTATAGCCATGAAATCATCCATTGTAGGTATAATATAATCATAGGTAACATCTCTTGAGTCCTTTTTATGTGTCAGTTGGCAGTAAGATTTAATGCTTCACATGTACAGTTGGCCCTCCCTATTCGCAGGTTTACATCAGTGGATTCAACCAACTGTGGATCGAAAATATTCAGAAAAAAATAACAGTACAGCCATAAAAATATATTAAAAAACACAGCATAACAACTATTTATATAGCATTTACATTGTATTAGGTATTATAAGTATGTAATCTAGAGATGATTTAAAGTATACTGGAGGATGTGCATAGATTATATGCAAGTACTGTGCCATTGGAAGGCACTTGAGCATCTGCAGATTTTTGTCATCTGCTGGAACCAATCCCCCATTGATACTGAGGGATGACTGTATCATTTCTAATCCTTACAACAACCTGCAGTGTAGACTTTATACTTATATATGAGAAAGATAAGGCTTAGAGGGTCTGTCTTGTCCAAGGCCACACAAGTATTAGGTGTCAAGTGAAAAAGAGGACATGATACTAGAAGGTAGACAGTTTTAAGGTCTGGCATCAAAACTGACAAATAGCTTCTTTAGATTTGTGTCCTTTTCTGTAAAATGAGAAGGTAGAGTCATTGGTAAAAATTGTTTTAGCTGTGGATGTCTCTTTTATACAAATAAAATCTAAGCATTAATAACATATGGGATTTTGACTTGAGTAGCAACAGCTGTTTGTTTACTTATATTAATAAAGAATCCTCTTCTCAATTTCATTTTCTCTGTATTGTTGTATTATGGTAGAAAATGTGTATTTCATTATTTCCACAAGAATATAAGAGGAGAAATAACTCGTAAAATAAAATTGCATTTTTTTTAA